ATTGTTAAATAAAATGATTTAAATAATTATATATTTTATAAAATAATTATATAAAATCATTACATATTCTCTATAAAGTAATTGTATCTCTAAAGATTTTAGCAAAAAATAAATTTCTATATAATTTTAAAGTAGTTTTTAAGTTATTCTTCTATCTAGTTTAGATAAAAGTAGAATTACTTAAAAATTACTTTAAAATTTTGTAAAAATTTATTTTTGCTATGATCTTTCTAGAATAAATATAATTATTTTATCTAAATTAGAGACAAAAGGAGAATTACTTAGAAATTACTTTAAAATTTGATACAAAGTTATTTTTGCTAAGATTTTCTTTCGAGAATATATATAATTATTTTGAAGAATATACATAATTATTTTAGAGAATATATAATTGTTTTATATTTAATTAAATAATGAATACGAAATTAGATGCTTACAAAAATTATATTCCTATTTTCAAAATTGCATGATTATTTTTCAACACTGCCTACATCCATATAGCAATTATTTTTTGAAGTAATTATTATTTTGTTACTCTGTTTTAATTTGGATTTTAATTTATTTGTTACAGACGTATTATCGTAGCGACGTTGCAGATATAACTCCACTGTTGCTCATCGAGTCGGTGAGTGATGAATCAACATTTTTATTGGGGTAACGGACGTATGATAATTTTATTAGTATAATATGTACATACCCAAATATATGTATGGATTTAATGACAATATGCGGACAAATACAACGTATAGCATTGCATACATCCGTTTCCCCAACATTAAAATGAACAAGTTAAACCTGATTAAGATAAATTTAGTTATATCTTATTCTCTAGTAAATTTTATAGATTCATTGAATTTCTAAAGATTAGCGTTAGAAAATAGAGAAATTTTAGAAAACTAAACTTAAAGGGGAAATTAAGCGAGATAATGTGACTAAGTTTGAACTTATTAACAAGAGCATTGATTATTTTATTCGCATAATTGTAAACACAATATGTTGCTTAGAGCCTACGTAATAAACCTAAATGATTGATATACAGAATCATGCAAAACAGTTGATCCTCAGAGAAAAAAATCTCGTCGGTGTGTAATCCTTTCCATACATTTCACCTTCTCTCTTTTGCATGAATTATTGCACCTTTAGCAGGTAGTTATATAAATAACGTTAAATTCTTCAATGTTTTCTGTACTCGAAAACGGAAGTGCGTGAAAGATCGATAGTTTTGCATGCGATTCTCGTCATCGAAAGATAAAATCGCGACGATGGAATTACGAGCTATCACAGACACTCTGTTAATAATGATTCCGTTTCTATTGGGAACTGGCCTTACAATGTCCGCATCTGCCGTACATTCTTCTTGCATAAAGATAAACTGAATATTCGGGAGGGTAACTTGCTCGCAAATTGCGAGTTCTTATATTTTTTTGAAATATTGCTTATTTAAAATATAAAAATAATTAGTTAACATAACAGGGCTAATGAGAGCCAGCGCGGCTAATCAAGCGCAAGTTTTGTACGTTAAAAAGATCAAAACTTGCTCTTGATTATCCACGCTGAGTCTCATTAACTCTGTTATTTGTTAATTTTTTTGTATTTTAAAGATTGGAAGTCTGTTTTAATTATTATTATTTATTATTTCTTTATTTATGATCGCAATTATAGGTTATCCCGCTGAATTCATCAATACGCGATAGAACATGGTTAGGCAGTAACTGCGTTCAGCAGAGAAAGCAGCTTTACAAATATTATAAAATTCTTCAATACTTATTATTAATTAGTTTATACATTTAAATCCATAAAGAACCAAAGGCAAGAAACAATCGTATCGAAGAATTTTACATTAACAAAGCTGCTTTCTCTGCTACCATGAACGTATTCATAATGTTATTACACATTAAGTAATTTAGATAGGAGTAGAGATAGGTAAATAGGCACGAATAAATGAAAATAGGGCTAGGATGATAAGTATGGATAAGTAGGGACAATAAATATGAATAAGTAAAGATAAACATAATAATTAAAGAATTAAATTATTTCCGAAATTAGTGATGACTATTAGCGTATTCGATTTATTGACTCGACCCGACTCCGAGTCTATGATCTGTTCTATTTAGTTGCAAAAAAACGCTACGAATTAATTCCAACACCTAATATATATATATATATATCCATTCTTGGAGTGCCAACATTTACGAAACACATAGCTTCTATATATATTTTATTTTTATAATATAAGTATATAATCCAAATATGAAAATATCTATGTAAAAATATTAAAAATCTGTTTTTACTGTATAAGAAATATCTTTGTTATTTCACATGATTTATAAATAAAATATCAAATTTTCCTGATCTTTATTATATTATAATTGTCTTGTCATTTAAAGTAAATCCGACTTTCAAAAAAATTGGAACATTCTGATTTAATAAAAACGTTTTTCAAAATTAACTTTTTATTTCACTTGAGTTAATTCAATCGTTAATTCAATAACATAACTTTGAATTAGTTTTACGTTTATTCGATTTATCATCCAACTTAACTAAATTAATTTTATACGCCATTAATTTAATTTAGTTAAAAAAACGTAATGATACGGCATTTCACATAATAGTTTAATCGTTCACCAAAAGAACTAAAAAATATTCAGTATAATATAACAATAATATTTCTTTGTTTAATAAATTAGTGATATTATTGTTAAAACGTTAAATATTATTATTTTTGTACATCTTATTTCTTCCTATTCATTATTTACGAAAAAAATGTGTTTAAAGCTAGAATGAGTCTTACTCATACTAGGAGGAATTCAAGTTCGATAGGATATTTGTAAAAAGAATGTGACTTTTTTATCTCTTTTTTTTATTAGCTTCCATTTATCTCCTTTCTTAAACGAACAATTATTGCTAAAGACAAAAGTATACATAGACAAGGAATTAAATTAATATTTTACGCAATATATCAGTATGCCTGTATATGTTAATTGCAATTATATAATACAATGATTTACAAATAACATAAATATTACAACTATCTACAAACAGTGTAATACAACATGATTCAAATAGTTTTTTCATTTATCTGTAATTTATCATCATAAATAACACTTATAGCATACAATCATTGAATATTTTTTTTCTCTTTCCATAAAATTAAAATATTTTAAAATATCTTGTGAATGTTATACCCTTGACATGTAGTGCTAACTTTTCGTTTCCTTAACTTTACAAAAACGTAAAACATACAAATGTTCTCCTCTTACTTTCCTTTCATGAACAATTTCACCAGACATATTTAACTTTTTGAAAGCGCTCAATATATATTTAGGATCATTTTCTTTTATAACAACTAAATAAAACAATCCTGCATCTGATAAGATTTTGGGAATAATAGTAAATACCTGTTCCATAACTTGTCTACCATTTTTACCACCTGCCCATGTTTTGAATACGAGTCTGTCATCTATTACTTCATTATATTCTGTAACTACATACGGAGGATTAAATAAAATAATGTCAAATGTATATTTAATTCGTATGCAATCTAATAAATTCATTTGAAGGATATCTACATCGACTGAATTAATCAGACTAGTTCTTCTCGTGGCTCTACATGCATCAGGATTTATATCAATCGCAATAAACTGAACATTATGACGTTTTAATGCCATTGCTAAAGCTGTGATAACTATACCAGAACCACTACCTATCTCTAAACAAATTCTTGGCTTCATCGCATGCAGAATCTCTAAATCTGCCTCCAAAGCATCTACCAAAAGATATGAATCCTCAGAAGGCTCATAAACTGTATTGAGCTCCTCATCAGACAGTTTAACTATTGGGGTCTCCATAATTTATAAGAAAAAATGTAATAAAATCTTATAAAACTTATAAATAATCGTTTAGTAACAATTTGGTCATATGTTATCGATCATAGGTTTAATATTGGAAATTATTGCTGCTTATCAGTCTCTGCTGTAGCTGGTTCTTCTTTATCAGTTTCAATACTTGTGTTGTTATATGCAGAACTATTATCTAGTAGTGTTTTTCGTTTGGCAGTACTCTTCTCGACAGCTTGATGCACTTTATTCAAGCACTCTTGGGTACTTTGCAGAATGTTGCTAACAATAGTAATCTTATGCTTAGCATTAACTAGTTTTTTTACATAAGAATCTGTGTCTAGTGGATACTGCAACGCTTCGTTGATTTTTTGAAGTTCCTCTGTTAGGGATTCAATCCGTTGTTTCAGCTCAATTTGGCATATTCTATAAAAAATAATATTCATATGTAAACCAAATAAACTCTTAATTATATATTTTTATATGCAACAGAATGTATAAGTGAACCTATGAATGACTGAGTAGATAAAAATAAATGTTATTTTATTTGATATAATGACTACTTTCCTTTTAAGAGACACGGTTGATATAAACGTTATCTTTTTTGGCATTCAATAAACGGTAGCAAAGATGAAATGACACTTGTGTGTGTGTGTGTGTGTGTGTGTGTGTGTGTGTCGACTGTGCTTAAAAGGAAAGTGGACTCTGTCTTACAAAAATGTTGCAAAAACAATAAGCGTACAAGTGTGACTGCGACATCGAACAGAAGTTTATGGGCATACGCCCTGCAACGAATCGCAACGAGAAAATTGTGGATACCTTGTAGCGCGAATTCTATCATCCAGTTGATCCACTGTAGGTTTCAGGAGGCTCATGAGACCCTCTGTTAATGCATCTCGCGTGGGATTTTCGCAAAAGTCATCTATCTTGTCGTCGATCGATGTATTGTCACTCGCTGTGTCCACATCCATATTGCAACCGTAATATGACGTCTACCATACTATGTGAGGTTAGGTGCGGAAGACATGTGAGGTTAGAACGGTGAAGACGCACCCATGATTCTCAAACGATCAGTGGTCTAGTTTCCAGCATTCTCCTATCGTTCGACTGTAACAGGAGAATACTCGACTGTAGTTGGTTGGTTCTTACATTCTGATCTGGTTTAAACCCTCGATGGAAACTAGGCTAGTGATTGACTCGTTCTCGTTTCGAGATGAATGTCGATGATGAATATTCTGAAAGCAACCTAACTGCAATGTAATCACTTGATCTTCAGTGAATGAATATTTTAGTGTAAAGATCGTTGTGTAAAATGTTAGAAATCTCGAGTGCCTTCATTATGACTTGTTATTAAATGAAAAATAAGTATGCAAAATGCCAATAAGAACAGCGTGAACTCGAATGTCGAAAAATAAGGAAAGATATATTGTGAGATACTTGAAAAAAAAACGCATGTGTTGCGAAGAATACGAGCGCGAATATAGTATTGTTCGAATAATAATCAGTAATCCGAATCATTATTATAAGGCCTGTTCTTTTTGGCTGAACTTTTGCATCAGTTTATCTTTCTCCTTCTTTTCTTCTGAAGAAAAAAAGAAAAAAGATAAACTGGTGTAAAAGTTCAGCTAAAAAGAGCAGGTCTATAATTATGTTCGTGATTTTAGGTTTCTGAAATTAGAAAAGTACAACTACGTTTAATTGCGTATGAGATCGCGATGCTGAGTTAGCATCTACTATGCAATTCGAAGCGCGAATATATGTATAATATGAGTACGTGTGCGCGTAATGTTTAAATTTAATGAACTTTATCTATCTCTCTCTCTCTCTCTCTCTCTCTCTCTCTCTCTCTTAATAGATTGCATTGATTTTCTTCATAACGTAATGATTCAATAAATTTATTAACAATCATAAATGTGCAAAACATAATGATCAGGTATACTAAGGAGCTATACTAGTTTCAGCGGATGAGACAGATAAATTTAATAAATATTATACGTAACATATTTTATTTAAATTAATTTTTGTACTTGATTTGTATCCGGACAAGGATCGCAATTAATTTTACATAATTCGACATTACATTCGATGAACAAATCCATAACATCAGGGAATTTGAAGGCTTGAAAGAACGCATAAGCGATCATGGAAGCGCCTGTATTGCCGGTATTGTTTGTCTTTTGGAAGGCACCAAACAGTTTCGGTTTCAGAATGCAGCCTCTTTCGTCGGTGAGCTGCAACATATTGGTTGAGGCTTCGTCTCGCGCCAAACAGTCACGCACCTTAAAAATAATTGTTTCATATTTTATATTTGTAATCACGCCTAAACAAAATTTATTATTTTAGAAATGAAAATAGATCATAGCAACGAACAATCATTAGCTTGTAATTATTTCTTGTATATTTATGAATAAATAGCATTTACATTGTTTGATTTTGTATATGTAAGATGGATTTCGATGCGTACCTGAAGATCGAAACTAGGATCGCCCTTCACGGAAACTACTAAGGTCATGGTTTCTCCGATCTTTACGAGTCCATCGACTGTAGGTGCAAAAGGTCCTTTACCGATTTGAATATCCAATTTGATTGTTGCAGTATCGCCACTAAAAGTAACGATCTCCTGGTTCAACATATCTATTGAGAGATTCACCATTAAAGACTTATTAATGTTTCCTTTCCAAAGACATCGTATTCTTCGAATTGCATCCCATACTTCTTGTATACCTGGTTCATTCTGGTTTTTAGGAAAAAAAGCTTTTTACTTTTAAATCTAATAATTATATTCGGTTTTTTTTGTATGAGCTAAGTATGACTAATATAAAATTTGAAGAAAATAAAAAGTAAAACTAATAAAAAGTCGACATCAACTTGTAATACAAGGACGGTTTCCAAATATGCTTGTCCAGTCGCACCCTTGAAATCATTAATGAATTGAGTTCCGCAAGAGTCTAAATTTACAGTAAAAGAATACTGTATTGAGCTGGAATTCTCTTTTACGTATATACATTCCGGATTCGCATAATATCCCTGAAATTTAACAAAATCAATATATTGTCGATAATTCGTAGCAAAAGATTGTTTTGTTTCACGCTTACTTTAGAATAAATAATGCCGTTGAAAGCGCGATTGAATTCAATATGAATCGTCATCATTGTCTTACTACATTCCACATTAAGATCATGGATATGTGGGGGATGATGAGACTCAACAGTGGCTTGAATGGCTTTTGGATATTAAAATTGCAAATTAATTTTTATGTTCTCTCTGTGTTTATATTAGATTGACTGTAGCAAAAGATAGATGTATAGATAACGTACACGTATATATATTCTGCGTACTCAGCTCACTAGCACCTATTAAACTATTAATTGTGATAGATTCAGCAATTTGTGTCGTAGTTTTTGTTATATTAGGAAGGATACGTGAGGACACATACTTTCTAAAAGAAATGCCTTCGTTTCCACCTGTATGTCCAGCCAATTGCTTGCCAGTCCTGGACGCAGAATGAATCGGTCCTGCACTAGTCATTGAAAAAGGTGGAGATTGTGACGATAAATGAGTGAGCGACGATTTCAGGATATTTAGAGGCGAAAAAGTCGTTGAGTGCTGATTTAACTTAGGATTGTATGATGTAAAGGCTACAAAATTTTGTAGTACATACATGGAATCTTGTTGGCTACTTGATCTTGGGGTAGAATATGATTTAGAGAAAGATTGCTTACAAGTTAGATAACTGATCTTCGGTGGAGTAAGAAACAGTGATGGTCGCTGCACGCGATGGTTCGTTACGTTATTCTGTCGGGAGTTTATTCCTGTCTGGAAGGTTTGAGATCTTTGCAACGATTGTTGCATATTAAAGATCGGCCAATATGTATTTAAATTCGATTGGGGACGAACTGTAAAAATATGAACATTTTTTTTATCGAAAGTGAAAATCCATCTTAATGATGTTCCTTAATAAAAGAAAAATATTAATAAAAATTGCATATACGCAGTATTAATATGTTTTATTGATACTATTTTTATATTTATTATTGTAAATTACTTTGCAAATTTTATATCGTACATTTAAACTTTAAATTCATGGTCTATACAAATTTCCAATAAAATTTAAACAATAAGATGTTTTTATTCAAATATTAGTATTGCCATTTTATATTTACCATTTAAAATAATATATAAATTAAGAATATTAAATAAATTAGAGTTTACATTTTTTAGACTTACTAATGATGAAACAAAATTGGAAAATGATTTCATAATCAAAAATTGCCAAAAATATATTTATAATAATTTTCATTGAATTTATTGAAAAATAATGTTATCAAGATATATAAACATCGATTATTCTTATATCTATTTATTAACTTTTCTGAATATTAATTAAAAACAGGATTTAAAAAATAAAAAAAGGAAAATATAATCTCAAAAACTAATTGGGAATACATTGATATAATAATAATGCTTTATGATAAAAAATGATTTGTCAGAATCAATTGCAGAATAAGCGCATACCAAAGCGTTGTTAGACAGTGAAGCAACTTGTAACTATGTAACTACGTTTTCCACGATAAAATTGATTATTTACGGTCAATTAGTAATAATAATTTTATGCTTAAATTAATGCGGCGGCAGTGATTGTACATAATAGCAGCTTTTTTTTTAAATTACAATATATATCTGAGATGCAATAATTTATTAAACTTTTAAACGTTATTTATTAGTAAATTTCAAATCGTTTATGATCAAATTTATATTTATAATAATATTATAACAGTCATACTATCTCTCTTTTTTCCTGATTCTCTATAAGAAAAATTCTGTATTCCTACCAGAATTTGTATTTGTGTTTCTCGCGAAGATTGCGCCATCGCCGAAATCGTGGTTGCATATCGCTGCACTTGAAAGAGCAATGACAACAATCGCTGCAGTGAACATCATCCTTAAAATGTCAATTTAATTGTAATTAATGATTAAACTCTTTTATTTCTTCACCTCTCTCTCTCTCTCTTTCTCTCTCTCTCTCTCTCTCTCTCTCTAACACACACACGCACACGCACACACATACGCACACGCACGCGCACACGCACACAATGTCAATAGTCTCGCGTAAAATCGAATTTAATGTTATAAAAGTGAAGATCATATCAATATCATTAACAAGAATAGGAAGATATATAAAAAAATGATAAGTCTTAGATGCGATAGATTGATTTTCTCGTCAAAAGTAAATAATGACTGAAAAATTGCAATTTTCGACATTTGTTACAAACGAGATGACTTTTAATGAAATGAGGAATGATAGTGTGTGAGTATTGTAATTTAGGTCTGAGTTTGTGTATTTTGGATTAATGTACACGAAAATTATGAAATATGTAAAATACACAAAAAGGTCTACCTTACCTCGACCTTTGCAAATTTTGAAAGCATCATTGTTAGAAAATACAATACATAATGGTTTTGTAATTGGACTATAATTGGCGGAGTAACCAAGGTTTTAGTAGAGAAAAAGATAGAGAGAAAGGAAAAAACCGCACGCAATTATTTCGACAAATCTTGAATGAAAAATGTAATGTTAGTAACGGCATTTATTCTTTAATCTTAAGCTATTATTAAAAATTTTCTTTGAATTTATGTCGGGATTGTTTCTGTTACTATTCATTTCTATTTTGACAGATAGATATTCATTAACATATTTCCTTAAACGAATTATATACTGCATAATTGTACTTTATTATCTGAAATGTTTGATAATATCAGATCTAATTAGGATTATTAATTTATAGATACATTCACTTCAGCACACAATCTCATATTTCTAATCATTTAGATATTTCTTTTATAGGCAAGTCATATTTTCATGCATAATCTTCAAAAATATTAAAATTCGAAATCATTGTAAATCTTCCACTAAATACATATTTTTTGCATGCTTGTTCGTGCTTTTCTAGGATTTCAAGCGAAACAAATTGATGTATTTATGACAGAAAATTTGTGAAGAAGCGTAATGATTATGAAAAGAGCATATAAAATTGACAAAATATGTAGAATTATCATGTTTTGTTAGTTATTTTTCATTTAATAAACTTTCCGACGTTAAATATCTAAATAGGCATCTAAATAAATATCTAAATAAGCATTATTATTTTTAAAATTATTTCTAAACAAAGTTAAAATCTTACAGTTATTCTTAATTAATCCGATGTACTTGCGACAAGCGCGGAAAAGCACTGTGCATCTTTGCTTAGTTTATGTCACTAATCCGTTAGCGAAACCGAATCATCGTATTACCTTTAGTTGCCTGCGCTCATCTGATGTTTCATTGGATTAGTAAGGTAAAAAATTGAAAAATTAACAGTGGAATATGGAGTTTCAGCAACATGAAAAGTGAAAGTCGTACTGCGCGGAGCTGAAGGAATGTGTAGATATATAATGAATATGCGCTTGCTTTTACGTATTTATATTGAAGACGTGTATACATGTATACATAATTGTGAAATCAGAGATTTATGCATCGTTCGATATAAATCCATGCACTTTCTCATATGTTTGTTTGAATATAGTAAAACACACACACACACACACACACACACACACATAAATTATGTATTCTAAGAACAAAATAAAAGTAAATTGTATATCTATGTCGTATAACATAATAAATGAGAAATTTTTAATATTTTATTTAAAATACGGAATATATGTCCGTAATATATATATATATGTTTAATAAATATTACATATTTGAAACTCACGTGTAAATAAAATAATTCCAAATTATTGGCACAACATACAAATAATTGATTGCTGAAGTCAATCTTGATGGCTAAAAGTTTGTACGTGCGTTTGAGAAAGGCAAGAATGAATATAGGAAACATCTTCATTTCAGCTTTATATAAGTATTATTCTCTTAGATCTCTAGACGGACTCTGCAAAAAAGTGTGCCATCACTCTGAATGTGTCTATCGTAATTTTATCATCAACGAGATGAAAAAAGTACTTGTTGATGAAATTATAAAACGAATATTTTACATTTAAAGTTTTATAAAAAATAGCACTTCAATTTATTTCTGTTACTAAATTCATAATAATTATAATAATTATATCATGAAAAGAATTATATCAGTAAAAGAATTCATCATTTATCATTATATCATTTTGTTCATATTGCTGTTATTATGAGATATTTAATATATATATTATTATTTCGATTTTATATGATAATAAAATAATTATTTTCAACAATGAAAGAAATATTGTAAAAGGAATGAAAAACTGGTTAATTATTTTAAGATTTGTAATATAAAATTAACAAAATACAATCTGAGAGGAAGATTATGACTTTGAATCATTAAAAACTATAATTTTTCAATCATATTATTAACTATAATTTTTTTATTAATTATAATAATTAATTATTAACTATAATATTTAAATCATATTATTGTATTTTAATCAAAATTCTTTTATTAAACGCTCATGAATGTCTACTTATTTGGTTTTATGACTTTCTGTTATTTGAGTGAATAATGTTACAAGTAATAACTATAATTATAATTCATAAACTTTTAATTTTCCCATACATAACGTGATTTTTCATGTTAAACTTTTGCGAACTAGAAATCGTGAGTGCTGGAGTGTAATTTTAGTATTTTACTAAATTATTATACATGTAATCTAATATGAATAATCGTATCATGTGCTGTATATAAGTTTCAAATTCATTTAATAGTTGTCTATATAACGATATTGCAAAAAATTAATAATTAAATAATTACAATATACAACACTGGACAGTCTGATCATTATATTTCTACATTTTATTATATAAATTATTCGTACATAAATTTTCTGCTTTTATAAAATGCTTAGGTAATTAACTTTTTCCGGCGTTTTTAAATTTGTAGATGTTCTAATACTTGATCTGATAATCACCATTTTAATTTTTATCCTATTCTACAATCAAATATTTAAAAAACTAGCTTTAAGAAATAGTCATGATTTTTTCGCGTGAGCTTACTTCACTATTATCAATACCAAATAACAAGGCATGAACTATATCATGATAATTTAATACTCTCGAATATGCATTTTCTTAAAAAAAATAGTAAACCTGCTAGCTCAAAGTTTAGTAGAAGTGATGGACATAAACAAAGAAAAAGTTCATAAGCGTAGAAAAACATATATCCGATAATTAAATTTCTTATCAAAGGAAGAATAAAATCTTTGGAAATATAAAACACTATTACACGCTATTAAAATATAAAACACTATTTTATTAATAGCAAAAAATTCATTTTACAATAATTTATGTTTATCATTTTAAAGCTATTAATATTGTTTAACAAAAATATCATTAATACTTATGTAAATGAATAGTCAAATTGTATAAATGATTAAATTGTAATCTTTTATACATTTACTTATATTACAAATTCCATTCCTCGAAATCCACATTAAAATAACGACAAATTAACTCATCAAAACGACAAATTAACTCTTTATATGCATATATTCTATAATTCTGTATAAACTACAAAACACTATGAATTAAATTATTTTTAATATACCATTACAATCGTACCAAGATTTTAGCATCTCAGTCTCTTATCTTTATTATCAATTATGCTATATTATCAGTCATGATGTATTATATTCTTCTGATCTTAAGCAATTGCAAATCATTAAACAGTTCATTATACACAAGTTTGGGTGCATCTTTACCCCAGATAAAATCCAGATGATTGAATTTAGGCAACGGTACTCTATACAAGTCAAATATGTTGGGTAATAATGAGTTGTATAGCTTTTTCACGTCCTTGAAAAGAAATCGTAAGTTATCATACGTTATACATTTCATTACTCTGCACTGTTAAATCTATGGTGTCAAATTTAACTTAACATGAGTCGCCACTGCTTCTACTCAATTATATCGTTATTTTATACTAAAACAATGGTTATATCTGACACTGTATAGTGTCAAATTTTAATAAAAAATATTAAGTTAAATTTGACACTATATATTTAATAGCGTAGTTATATATTATTTAAAGATTGATTCACAAGATAACGCAAATCAATTTTTAATATATATTTATATGTATGTATGTCCTACGTATCTCTTCCGTCTAAATACATTTTCTCTCCACTTACCAAACTATCAGCCAACCAATCATTGTCGGCGTAGAATAGCCCAATTGGCAGTTTGATGTTTGTTAGATTATAGTCCGGCGGTTCAGTTGCATTGTAGATCAATAGATTTTTCTCGCGTCCATAATCGAATTGACGAAATTTGCCTGACTCGATTTCCTGACCGAAGTGTATCAGCGTTTTGGTCGAAGCACCGGCTGAATCGTAATTCAGAATCGTTGGGAGCAGAGTCTAGAAAACAATATGATATCTGATTTGATATCTAAAGAATGACTGCATGTGCCAAACATGATGATTCGAAGCGTTGCTCGTAGTTGCACTTTGATGATTTTGATCACGTTCATTCATGGAATACTTACGTAATTGAATTGTTCTTTATCGAATCCACAGATCAAGAATATTATGTTGGTACAGATCTCCTCAATGTAATTTACCTCGCAGCTGTGCTTCGCTAGAAATTGCAGCACACTATTATGCGGCAGAAACTCATCCTCGCCGAAGAAATGCGCTATTATCTGTAATTCATGGATCCCTTAATTGCGATATATTTACTTACAATTTGAGTGTTCTCTGATTTCAGTATTTGAAAATAAATATTAGGTGTTGGAATTAATTCGTAGCGTTTTACAAGTGATGGGAAGTACTTTCATTAATGTATTTTTTAATGCTCATGTGAAATAAATAACATTCTTTCATTAAAAAACGCTACGAATTAATTCCAACACCTAATACATTTGAAGTACTTTTTAACAAATTAAATTTATGTGAGTGATCTTTGATCTTAATTTGTAAACAACATTTTATTTAAACTATAATAAAAAATTGGATAATATAGCTATATAATATAACTACTACATGGATATATATATATATATATATATATATATATAACAATAAGTGAGAGCAGGGAAAAGATAATTTTTCCATTTTTAGTTTCTCTCTCTAAAATTGAAAATCTTATCCTATGAAATCTTTTCCTATACTTGTTTATATTTAGAAAACTTCAATATAAATACAAGTACAATAATAAAAATAAAAACGATAATGAAGGACTTCTGTATTTCTAACAAAATAATAATATAAATGTGCAATCAAGGGCTACAATATACGAAATCAGCGCAGTATTATATAATTCAAGCGAAATACAATTTATTCTTTCAACTACTAGAAATAAATGTTAAATTCGATTTTTGTGTATACCGTTTCTCGACTTTGATTCGAGTCATTCTCAGCATCCTTAACAATAAATTGGTGAGTGATAAAAATTCACATGTAAATCGATGTATTTTTTATTAGATCTCCTTCATGCTGCTCATGAAACTGCACAACTAAATAGCAAGTTATTTTGTCTCTGTTATTCCGCAGAAACACTTCCACTATCCATGTCCATGCATAATTATATATAATACATATTAAAAACATTTTTATCTTCAAAAATCGAACTGTTTAGTCGATTTCTTTCGTTTAAGATTTGTATAATTTTCGATAGTCGCAAAGTATGTATTTTTTGAAAATAAAAAATGACAATGCGTTCGAATTACTGCGCTGATTTCTTATAGTTCTTGATTGCACATTTATGTTATTATTTTGATAGAAAACTTATCTCTTTTCTAGTATATCGTGAGCAAAATCTATGATTTTTATTCTTCTTACATAAATATTTTACAATATTGCTCATATATTTTTTACAATGAAGCTTATTTATTACAGCTTTTCTGATATTTAACACAATATATTTTTAAAATACATATTAAATTTTTAAAGTAAATTCTATTCGGAATTAATTTAAAAAACATAGTAGTGTTGTCTTTTCTCCTTTTAGTAGTGTTATCTTTTCTCTTTCTAAAATCTTATTCACTTGTAACTCATAAATTATTCATGTTGATCTCGATATTTTTTTATTGAGAAAAAACACATTCAAAAAATGAAACTATCTTTCAAAAATAATAGTAAAATATAAAGGGATGTATGTATCATAAAATTATGAGACGAAGTGACTTAATACTAATTAATGTAATATTTCTTAATTATTGCATGTTGTTTTAAATTCTTAAACTAGACAATAACTTAGTTTTTAATAGTATATTACCTTTAATTCGTTGACGAAAGGAGCAAAATATCGTATTGGACTTTTTATATGTTCTACAAAAGCTATAGGCGCGAGACTAATTATTGCTTGTACCATTTGAGCAATATCTGGACGTTCTGCTGCCATTACATAAGAAGCAGTTGTACCCATTGAATGACCAATATACGTGTGCAATTTTTGTGACGTCTTATCCGTGATATACGAGATCATCGCAGATAAATCATAGATGCCCAGTTCGTGAAAGCTAACAAAAATTTTAATCGATATACGTCACAAAATATAACAAAAAATATATGTCCCATAATAATATAAAATTAATTCATCAACTTTCATTTGCTTTTACTGTAAGTTACAGTTAGTGTCATAAGAGCGTCAGTAGTTTTCTAAAAGAAATCGAGTATGTTAAAAATGAAAATTTATATTTTAAAATTACACGCATTTACTTGCAATTAGCATGGCATCCAATTATCATTATTATGATTATAGTTTATTATCAAGACGTGCTTCCAACGAGAATTTTGGATAAAGTCCTTTAATTCTTCCGAATGTACCAATATTGGCTTGCAAATATTTATTCTCTTTATTTTCACGCGATTGACCAGATATTTTCAATCGGATTTATACATTTATGTTATTATTTTGATAGAAAACTCTTTTCTATTATAGTATATCGTGATCAATATCTACGATTCTTATTCTTCATACATAAATATTTCACAATATTATTCATATATTATTTTTTAACGACAACGAAGCTTATTACAACTTTTCTGATATTTAATACAATATATTTTTAAAATATATATTAAATTTTTAAAGTAAATCTTACGAGTTTAGAAATTGGGAAGGCCAATCCATTATATTATTATTACGTACATTATCATTTTCACATTTGTAAAAACAGGAAGAATGTCTCGTGGAAATCCTGGTGGCAAACTATAATTAATAATAATATTAAACAACAAGTAAATGCATTTTGGTGTATGTACTTTTTAAGTATAACTTCAATTTTTGATATATTCAGAGAACCGCTAACAACGCTCACTATTAATTACATATTAATTGTTACGATCATATAATATTTGACGCAAAATTATTTTCTTCTTATTTTATTAGTACAAGTACCTAAAATTCCAAAATTTTGAATCCGACGGAGATAAAGAAATGTGCGCTCTCGAATTGGTATTCCCACGAAAATTGCCCAACCAAACGTCATATCCCCGATCGGCCAATATGAAAGCTAGTATGAAAAAGAAAACATTATTCACAGTAGATATAGTTATTTACATAAAAATATTTTGGCTTTATAGTATTATATATACAATTTATGCATCCGTATTGTCTGATAAATTTTTCTCTTATTTCTGTAATAAACTGTTTATTAATCTCATTTTGAGTAAAGTGAAATTTTATGTAAAATACAGAAGAAAAATATTTAATTTTAATAAACAAACTTATTAGCATACAAAGTATAATATTACAAAAATAAAAATGAAAACTTTCAAAAATCAAAATTAGAATTTATACGGTTTCTTTTGGTTGGAATTGGAGAGTTTATTTTTCGTTATTTTGCCAGAAGCGTAATTGATAAAAATTTGATTGAGGTAGTACCAAGTCCTTTATCCTTGCCGGGAATGACCCAGTCGGCGGAACTGCCGAAAAGACCATGTTGTAACAACATGGATAACTTCTTGTTACCTGGAATACGATGGAGTGTTAAGAGGTAACCGTCCTCAGTCTGTACAATATGAGCTTCCGCTGGATAACCAGCTTTTTTTATCATTTGTAGCTGGAAAAAATAAAAACAAATTATTTATCACTTATAGTGATACAAATTGTGATCTCAAAGATCTCATTATGCTGAGCCTTTATTCTATCTTATATGATTCTTATACTTATGAGAAATTAAATTCCGCAGTCTTTATCTGTAGTGATGGTGCTGCGTAATATTATTTATAGTGATATTTATAAGTTGGTGCCATAAAAAGCTCTCTTAGAAAACATCTCAAACAGCACAAAGTCTAAAATTGTGACATAAGACGTCTTTAAGTCGTCTTTTAGATGCAAAAAACGTCTTATGACTCGACTTTTTGTTGTCTGGGATTTTACAGAACAAAGACTTTTTGATATCATTTTAAAGAAATTTGAATAAGGTCTTTAAAAAGTTATTTTAAAAAATTTGCTCTCTTTCGCTCTTTTTCTCTGTCTTTTTATCTCTCAATAAAGTTTACTGAGAATTACAAAACTGTATTTAACATCTTAAGATATTATTTAAGATAATCTTGAAATATAAGAACGGATTATGAATATCAATCTTATTCCTTTTTAATTAGATATTTATAGCTCAATCTTATACTTATTATTTTAAATTTCAAATGATTTCAAGATTCTATTCAATCAATAGGTGCATCCAGAAGTACGACCGCTCAGTAAGCTCTTGTACCTGTTTGGTCTATATTTTTAGATCTAATGGAATATGCCAATCAAATGCAAGAGCTCACTGAGCGCTCAGTGAGCGATCGCGTTTCTGGATGCATCCAATGAATTAATAAGTCAGTTCTTTATTCCTGTACTACTTAAACTGATGCAATAAGTTGAAGTGAAACAAAAAAAAGGCCTGTTTTTTTTGCTAAACTTTTACACCAATTCATCTTTTTTTCTCTTCTTTCCTTCTGCAGATAAAAGAAAGAAAGATGAACTGATGCAAAAGTTTAGCCAAAAAGAACGGATCTAAATATATTGCACCGTGTGCACCACTTCAGACAGTGCAGGAATAAAGAACAGACCTATAATAATAAGTGCTTCAAAATTGTAATTGAGATAACTTTAAATGCATGATTATAAAATCGGAATACAGAAAAAATATTTACTTACCGTATTAAGGTTGATATCAGAATTGAATTTAGTGCTATTCGGCCGTTTTCTGCTTTCCTGCATCATTTTCATGAATGCGTTCAGCGAAAGATCTTGCGAAATGTCAGATATCACGATTGCGGCTAGGCCGCAGACCAACAAGAAAAATGCGATCACAATCGCCTGCATCGTAATGACATACGATAAAACCGGTGATTAATTCGAATTAAATCGGATACCGTGATTCCTCTATAGATATCAAGATGTAATAACAGCGAAAAATTAAGATGAGAAGTATACGCTCTTTCTACATAGAACTGAATTCTTTTTATCTCACATTCTCTATAGTAAGAAACGATGACGAATACGTTTGCTCGGAAGAGGAGGGGGAGACAGAGACAGAGAGAGAGAGAGAGAGAGAGAGAGAGAGAGAGAGGAGGGCGAAAAAGGAGGATAGATAGAAAAAGTTGAAGCAATCCCACGCATAACAACAAGTCATCATATTAAAATGACTTCAAAGTGATCATTAAAAGTAATTTTTCAATCATTTCCAATTCATTTTAATATTATTTTGACGTGATCGTGACTTGTTCTGCTTGTGCTTGAGGTATCAGTCATCTGATGATTATTATGAAAATTACACAAATTGTAATGAAAACTAATCGAAGATGCGTGTAACATTGTTTATGTTAGACAAGTTGCACCTCGTTTTGATTAGATTATTCTTATCTATATTCTATGTACCTAATATAATCTCCTTAAATTATTTAGAGTGGAATTTTACTCTAAAGAGAGTGAAATTTCACTTTTAAAAATTAAAGATTCTACCACTCATTTTTTTAAAGAGAGAAAATATGCAGACCGCGCTGATTTTATACGAATCATCTGATATACCTATAAATATCAATTTTTCAAATTGCTTTGAGAATATATTCTTCCGATTATAAAGATTTAAAAAATTGATTTTTCTTGATTCTCTAAATTAGATTTTCTTTAAAGTTTATATTAATTTATCATTCGGATAATTAGAACTGCAATAAAGTATAACAATCAAGAGTAGACATTAAAATATTATATATACTTACAGGAAAACCTCACGAAATGTCAAATTCTAATTTTAATGAAACTTCGTATACATAAGTTACGTAACAGACGAATTTAGATAATTTCAAAAATTTAAGATATAAAAAAGTTTTATACAAAAATTTTATAATAAAAATATCTCTATCTTTATTCATGTACATCGATAATATTTTTGAAATATAATTATTTAAAAAATTTCTTTGAAAATGTTTAAAAATAATTATTTTTTGAAAATATTAGTGATGTGGACGAAATAGAAATAATCTTATTATAAATAATCTCGAATAGAAATAATTTTATTGTAAAACTTTTTTGAAAAACATTTTTTATACAAAATTGTCTGCTTCGTTCCCCTTCTATTGTTAAAAATCATAATTTTGTCTTTTAAAATTTTGAAAGTCAAATCATATTCCGAACGCATATATTCCGTTCGTATTCCGGATGCACGCAAATGTTATTTTATCCTTGTTGTTCACGAATGTTAAACAAGGAAAAAACCACGCAGAAGAAAATTCTATACGTAGCCTTACAGGATAGACATCAATTGTTGACTTGTAATTCTTATACAAGAGTATATAAACTATTTTAAAATAAATTGTTCTAAATATCTTAAAATTTCTTATTGTACAATATAAATAATAATAGAAATTTTTGCATTTTTTAATTTATGTGTTTAAAATTTATTTTAACAAATCGAGTCAGGCAGACATCGTCGATCGTTAATTTATACACCACCTTTGAACAATTTGACGAATTCGGTACCGTTATCGGATGTGTTATTTGTGTTGAATGACGTGTCAAAGTAATCATAATAGATGATTTAAACACAGCAATCAATCAAATCCTAGATAGTGTGAAAGAAATAGCTGTTGAAGTAATGGCAAAAGTGAAAGGAAAGTATGAACAATAATGGATTTTATACAATTTTCTCTCTTATTGGGAACACTTTATTGCAATTCTAAGCGCAATTGTGCTATATATGTATAAAATTACAACGAATTCGCAAATCGAAATTCATAGATTCTTAAAGTAATTATTATTTTTGTAATATTTTTATTGTAATCGCCAATAACAAAGGTCGTCAATATCATCATACTATTTTATTTTTGGACAATATTATTTAAACAAAAGTAATTTGTCTAATTTGTATTTGTTTCTAAAAATAAAATTTTAGAAACATAAATACAAATTAAAGTGTCTTCTGACTGCTATATAATATAGCAGTTTTTTTATAATACTTTACAATTTTGTCGTAATTAACTTTTTTGTAAGATAAGCAAATATTAATCTGACAAAATGGCACTCTAAAACACGTAACACTTTTTTATGATTTTCGCATAAATATACGATTGCCTTTAATATCGGCAGGACTGTTTAACACTACAATGCAACACTATAAAAATCTTTCTATTCTGTAACTTTTAACGACTGTAACGACATCCTTACATTGTCATTACGCTGCTTATATACGTGGTAAAAGCTTTTTTGTGCGACTGTAATTGAGAAAGCAAATTAATACTTTCTTTAATTAATTTGAAGATGCTGAATGAAACTTGGAAAATTAATAATAGAAATTTCCATAGAACAAAATATGTGAGAAAATTAATGGCAGAAAGTAGTCCTATACAAATATTTTCTTATAAAAGATTTATGAGACAATATGTTGACTGTTATTGTAACTAACGGGTATGATAATTTTGCAATAATCAATTATTATACGACGTGTCCGTATAATGTATTATACGCATCATTTTTATTATGTTTAATTATTTGGTTTTATTAAAAATTGAAAAAAAAACAATCTTTATAATAATAAACGCGTTATGTTAGAAATGATTTCATTATAATACATTAAATCCATATGTTTCTATAAATTTCAAGGATGTTTTTCGTTTATATTATCATTATCCTAATATTACATACAATGCATCAAAGTATCAACAAGCTGAGTAATAATAAGTAACAGGGATTTATAATTCTATACATAGTAATGAGTCATTGTTTTGCGCGAAGGAAAACGAAAGGCCAAAAAACAATATCGAAGAAGACATTAAAAAACGAGAAACTGGTCTTCTGATCAGTTTTCATTTTTGAGTGATTAACTATCGAGGGTTGTTTCGTAATATGGCTCGCAAAATTCGACCCATTATTCTTCCTGCTTTTCTTGTTATAATTAATAGCATTATAATTCGGTAAGTCCAAATCTTCGGAACTCGCATCGATGAATTTACGATGTCTGATTGATTTCCTACATAGAAATTACAGCATACAGATGTAATTGTTTAAACGTATAAAAATCGAGAGTTTTATAAATTATTTATATATTATATAAAGTATTTTTTTAAATAAATAATCTTTCTCTACCATTTTCTCGTACTCTCTATCTCGGGAGAGCTCCAGGATTCAGTCTCGGTATGTTCATCAGTATGAACAGTAGAAGCGTATTTATGATCATTGCATGATCGACATTCGCATTTTAAAGCCATGCTTTTTAATAATGTGGCAGAACGTGGATCATCGCCAGCGCCTGTAATGACTAAAAATTTCTAAGCAAAAAATTTCACTTTTTGATAACATTTTCCAATATAAAGACGTGAAATTATATATACAAATTAGAATTATATATACAATATACATTAATTTTTTTAAAAGATCCAACTTACAAGTTTTCATTAACGATTGGCAAAATATTTTTGGTTTTTTTATAATCCAGTGTGTATAAAGTTTCCCTCTTTGAACTATTTTCCAATGATACAATTCCACAATTTGACAAAATTACATATATATTTAATACAAATTATTTAATTATATTTTAAATTATACAAGCAAACGCTATTTTTTATTACTAATTATTACATATTAAATAGTAAAATAGTCAATAGATTAAAAATAAGTAGGAAAAATAAAATAAATAGGACAAATATAAAAAATTGAATAATTATTCCAAAAACTAATTGCTAATATTTATAACTAAGAAAATCTAATTACATTTCTTATATACAAATGTAAAAATAAACATAAATTTAATATGCCAGTGCAGTTATCTTCTAAATAGAAATTATCTTTTTCTATTTTACTCACGTACTCAAATATCTTTTCTTCTTCATTGTTTGCGACAAATTCCGTGGAATATTTTAATTCATTTTTTAATGATAATTTTGCACTCTGTTAATTAGAATTAATTAAAGATATGCACTGAGAAAAATGTCTGAAGGTAGACAAACTAGAAGATTCTGATTGTATCAATGAGATTATCACAATTGGAATTTAGTTGATTTAAAAAGAAACTTCTAATTCGTCTATTTTCAATCAGAATTTCAGTTAATTCAATCAAATTATATTTTTTTCAGTGTACTAAAACACATTGATGTTCTCTTCAGACAAATAAATATGTAACTATACTGGATAAACAGGAGACTCTCCATGTGTAGATAAAAAGGAATTCGGTTTTATCGGTGGTTTTATGCGTGGAATTTTACTGATCTTATTTTGAGGGATCCCTAATCTTGTATCTTTATTAATTTTATTAGAATTTTCTTGAAATTCGATAGCTTTGCTCGTAAGATTTTTGTTATTTTTTGCGATTTCTGACGTCTTTTGAATATCTCGAGAAAACACCAAATTCTTTGGAACACACAAATTAATTATAATGTCAGTAAATTTAAAGTAGAGAGATTATATAGAAAACAAACTTGGTTAAGTGGCATTTGGCAATTCGGAATAACTTCGTCATCGTTATTTTCCAGTTTATAATTTTCAATATTTCGAATAATTTTTGAGGAAGGTATCAATTCTTTTTTAATCTGAGTAACGTCGTAAATTGATGGACGAGATTTTGTAACCTTTTTTGTTTGTATCTTCGATTTAAAAACAATTCCTTTCTTTTTAGTAGTTAAACCAGTTTTTCCACGAACATAAAAATTTTTTTTCTTGATCGGCGCTGACAATTCGTCACTTTGCTCTGACCAACTTGAGTTCGACGTGTTATTATCAATATTTGAACATATTGGAATGTCAGGCTGACTGATAGCTGCCTCGTAATCATAGGCTATGACAGGGGATTTCGATTCTGGTTTATTTTTTACAGTAATCGTTGAGCCAATCGGTTTTTTATTGACTACATTTTCACACGTATTGCGACGCAATGATAGATTCATCGTATTTCCAGCATGACTAATGCTACAACTATAAAATCAATCTTTATTAATTAATATTATTATTTTTATTATATAATTATTTTTTATTACATATAATAATTTATTATATATAATAAACTATTATATATAATTATCTGTTATCTATTTACATACTTTTTCAATAAATTTAATGAATATTAAAAACAAGCTAATAATATGACAAATTAGAATACATGTATCGTAAATGTGTATGAAATATTTATTATAACAATTTTGTAATTAAACAATACCTTCTTACTTAAATTTAAATATTTTTAACTCACTTATAGAAATATTCTCATATTTAAGGAATGTTATTAACATCTTATTCACAAAGGAACAGTAAGGATATCTATAATATATTCTGCTTATGTTTCTATTTTCCATAATGAAAATGCACATGCATTATATTTCATTTGCAACAAATACTTACTTGGAAGTTACAGATTTGCAATCGTTATATTGCACCTGACTCTTCGACAACTTGATTATTTTAAGTCTAGTCAGAAATTTTAATATCGCCTCAGATCGCTTGTGATCAATCTTGCGAGAGTGTTCGCATGCCGTGACATTTACGTATTTCGAATCTTCATCTTGCTGTCCCGTATTTTCTTTACGCGTTTGCAGAAGCGGCGACACCAAGTCATTCAATTTGTACCGAAATTGCGACCGAAAGCGATGTTGCGATTTTCGTGAATTCGCCAGTATCTTATGCAAGTATGATCACATTTTTCTTAGATACTTTTGCAAATTCTATTGCCCAATTAACCATTTTCTTTTCACACGTTATCGTCGGACTCGATAAAGTTATGCGCATTTCAATAACGTCAGTTCGATTATCGAAATATTTGATTTGACATTTTATGTATAGTATATATGTCATATAATACCATTTTATACCATTTAATACCATTTTTATTATATCTATCTATAAAGTTATACAAAGAAGATAAAATGCGGGAAAGTACAAAATTTTATTTAAGATTCGAGATTCAAGGTTGTTTCGTAATATTAGGAACGAATCGTTATCTGAGATGAGGTTTATGCAAAAGTATTCGGAAAACGAATCGTGCAATTTTCTCATAAGCTAGGAACATCAAAGCAGCAGTGAGGATAGTCTGTAAAAGTTTGGCCTCCATGCCTTTATATAAGCCACTTATACCTTGTTTCCTGCGAGCAAAAAATATTCACATTAATATAACACTGAAGTGAGGATAAAAAGCCAGCTTTCTTTCGCTGCATGAAATTGCTTTACTAATTACAAAGCTAAAATGTAAAATAGATACATTATATATTCATGTAGTAATTTTGTATATACTTACTTCAGAATGTAAAATAGTATTTGCAACGTGCCTGCATCTGGAGGTAGGTTAGGATATTTATAGCCATGCTGAAATTACAAGTTTAGTGATTAAAAAATACTTTTTCTTAAATTTATTTTTTCTCAACCAAACTAAGAATGTCAATAATATACGATACCCTCAATTTCGTTTGCACAAGTTGTAAAGGATATGTCATCATCGTGGCAACCGCTTTCGCTATCGCTCCTATAATGAAGAAAATCCATGCTGGTGGTTGAGTACCGCCAAAAGACGCGATGACTCTTCTTTTAATGCTCTCATATGTCATAAATTGGATGGCCGGATTCGTAACAAGCATAAGACTCGGCAACGTTCCTGCCCATAGCTGTCTCAAACCTTCATACTTCCATATGTGCATGAGACCGTCTGTAAAACGTAATGACATTAGAAAGAAACAACTAACACTTAATATAAATATAGAAAGTTTTAATTTAAAACGTTATTAATTTTATAATTTTATTTGTCTATTCAAAGAATTATGAAGAATTATGATGAATAATTACTTTCTCTGGATAAAAGTTGTTAAAAACTTTAGAAAATTTTTCGTCTCTAACGATATATTATACGATTTATTATGGTTGTTCTATTCATATCAATGTGCTCTTTGTTTCCTATTTCTTGCTTTTTATCTTTTGCTTGTTTCCTCTTTGTGATCGTTTTATCAATAATTATATTTCTTGATATGTGTTTTCTGTTTCTTTTGAAGTTCGTTAACGTTTATCTCGAGCAACAGAAAACGAAAAACGGAATAAGAAGCAAAAAGGCAAGATACAATAAATAGCAAAAAACAAGAAATGGGAAACAAAAGCACATTGTAGAACAGGCTTTACATCTACTTATAATTATTCAAATATACTGACCACACTGAGAAAAAGGTTTCTTTGGATTTAGTATTCCTGTTTATTTGACTAAAATTTGTTTCATTGCAACAACATATGCTTGTACAAAATATTATTTGTTTAAATAAAAATTTTGTTGTTTCATTCGAAAAACCTCTATTGCTTAACAGAAATAACATTATGATTTGAAGTCGCATCTTTCAATTAAATAATATATTATTTAGTTACAATGAATACAAACAATGAAACAAATTATTTATTTAAAAATGGCAAAATATATTGATATTGTTTCATCCAAATAATTGCTTTCTTAGAACAATTATTACATTTTTTGGCCAGAAATATGGCAACAATAATTTATACGTCTAACAACAGGATTAAACGAGCAGTGCTATGTGCTGTATCAATATGTTTGTGCTGTACAGCGCGATATCGTACAATGTGAATATCGAAGATAGATATCTGTTCAAACAAATAATGTATTTAAAACAAAGATATACATTGTTTCAATTTTAAACAATCGCATTTATTGATTCAAATATTGGTTTGTTTGGACCATTCCAAATAACAAATTTATTTGGATACAATAAAATTTATTAAATCCAAAGAAATCTTTTTTTCTGTGCATTTATTGTTCGAGACTATTTTTACTTTAATTATCATATATGTATATGTTTATTAATATAAAAAATATTAATAAATATTTTCGAATAATAAATGGTCACACATAAATAATTTTTTTATGATGAGAGATAATTTTGAAGAAGAAAAATGATTTCTTTAACTATCTCATTAATAATACATTCAATTACGAATTTCTAATTTATCATAATCTCTATGAGATTTATTCGTGATAACAAAGTGTCATGCTTATTGAATATCAATAATTGTTTCAAGTAATGAAGCAAATGAGCACGTGTTTTTGAAACGTTTTTGTGAATATATTTGTTGACATACACAGTGCATTAAATAAAGGATATGTTTGTACTGCATTTTTTAATATCGTTATATATGATATGTATTGTTTGATTTTTAAACAAAGCGTGATTGGAATCACTAGTATTAAAAATATAAAAATATTTAAAAGTAAAAGTCATTTAGATAATCAATATCGACTATCTAAATAAATACTCGCGAATATAATTTTTATACGGAATGCTAACGTACCATACAGAGTAATATATTCGTTGTTATTTCTTTCTGAACTTAATCCAACGCCTCTCATCTTCAGTCTCGTATTTACAACCCATAGAGGTGTCGTAGTGAGGACATTGATAATACCTAATATAAATATATACATAAGTATATAAAATGTCCCAAGATTTTTTACCAAAGTTCACACATAACAAAATTCTTCTGTTAAAATCGAAGATTACATTGTAAAAAATAAAATGTTAATTTTAACTTAAAGATGTATAGTAGAATTTCAGACATGCAAAAATGTTAAACTTAACATAAAAATGTTAATTTTAATATGTTTGCATATCTCAGAAAGTCCACTATATATTTAAATTCAAAATTGACATTTTATCTTTTACAGTGTATATTTTCTTGTAGAAAAATTTATTTGAGTATTGCTTATTTTTGTCTTATTTTTGTCAATTTTCCTGCATAATCTAATATCTCTTTTAATGTCATTAAAATGATTATTTATCTTTATAATTAAATCTCCGATTAAAATCTTTTTAAAATAAAATATATGTTTCGAAATCGAAACGTATATGTCTCTAAATGCTGCTTATTTTTTGGTTATTTTCTATGTTTTTCTAATCATTTGTAATTAAATAACTTGCAGTGCTCTGATTATTTGTACAGAGAAATCGAATCTTAATACGCGAAACAGACATTCTGTTGACGAAAATGTCTAAACACACACACATTCTGTTGACGAGAAACCGTACCAGCAATTGACGCGAGAAGCAAGTCACTACCAGCCGTTTGATTCCTTTTGCTTCTCAGTTCTTTTAAGCCGTGGAATGTGTAGAAATAAACAAAGTTACTCGCACATAAACTTTGTAGAACAGGGACGATACCTCTGTACAGGGTATATCTTAAAAAGATGAAGATAATTAAGTTATGTGAATGTTTTAAAAATATCCAAAAGGAATAATTTCATGATCTAAGAAAACAGATGTAACAGACGTAATTGCGCATAATGACAACAACAATATTGAAAACAATCAATCAAATTTAGATCCAAATTTTTTATACATAGGTGTAAAATTGCGCATAAAACAGTAGCAACTGGAACAGCTAATCAAATTTGAGGCCAAATTCGTTCTGCGCAGTTACGGGAATATTACAACACCTGTATTATTATATCATAAATAATTCCTTGTTAACATATTTATTTATGCTAGAATCTGTGAACCAAGGAGAAACTGGTTTCTGAATATATTTATTGTTCGTGTTTCATTCATTTGTTCAAGACATGTATAGGGCTCGCTTTGAGAAAATACATATTTGAGGTATGTACGTAATGTATACATACAGTCCTTCTTTCGCAATGAGTTCTCGTATAGTAGCCAATGTATTTTTTGATTGGCGTCCTTCTTCCACTATAAGCAGAAGAACAGGTTTGTTAATGAGACTGAATGAAGTGAAAGATAAATGTTGAGTAATTATATGTACAAGTAATTATCATAAGAAAATAAAACGCGTGCCTTAATTTTTGAACGTAATATCATTCTTTTTAATTTTTCATGAAGCACTACAATCATGTCTCTATTTGCCGAGCGTTATAAAATTTATAAAATGAACTTATTGCCTCTCTGAAATATATAAATATAAATA